GGTATCAAGAAAGCCGACCGTCCAGGAAGCAATGGCAAACTACTGGATGAAATTTGCCTAGAGAAACCACACAACAGCCAGGGGCTATTAGGGTTGGTTCTGCAACGTCCTGTAAAGGATACGCAACTAACTTTTGCCGGTGCTACAGGGCTTGTGCTGAACTTCTTCGGACTCAGACTTGAGTTAGAAGAAGAACAGAGCACTGTTGGGTTTCTACCCGTGTGCCAGGATGTTGATCCGTTGTTCAAGATCTCAAACACGTGTACAAAGTCCAGAAACCTAGATCTATCCGCCAGAAACAGTTAATACATTTTCATAACTAATACCCTGAAAATGAGGATCCACGGAAATGCAGCCTTTGGATTAATAATCCCTTCTCAGAAGATGTAAGATTATGCACCCTTGATTATCATGGGGAAAAAAACAGTCAAGTTGTCTTCTGATGTTATTTTTATGCCCAGACATAAAATACAATCACTGTCCGAGTTTTAGATACCAAAAAAGAATATCAATTTCTAAAATATAGTTATCAGATTGTAGAGGGGGGGGGGGGGGGGGGGGGTTCAAGTTTATATGTGGAAAATACTTTCTAGTATTCAAAAAACAGTCAAGTTTATCACAAGAACCTTGTCTGACAGTGTAAATCAGAAAGCGAACACAAGAAGAAGAAAAAAAAAGTAAAGATCCCTTTACACGGCTTTGGGCGCATCAGGCATATGGGAAGAGCACCCATATTTTTACAGACCAATCGGCACTCGGTGGGTAATGTGGTCAGCATTACGCCGGCCGTCTTTACTTTCCCAGGACAGCCCATCCTGGTACCCATCTGAGGCTGGGTCGACCTGCGACGTCCCATACCACGATAAAAATCCACGCAGCCCGCAGTGGGTTTCGATCGCGGTACGTTGGATCACGAGTCGGACTCGCAAACGCGTTAGCCACGGGTAGTAAGAATGGACACCGCTAAGAAGAAGAAGAAAAAAAAAAAAGGAAAAAGCCGTGTTAGTAATACAAACCAAACATAAATCGAATGGATGGTAATGCAGCTTTTTTTTTTGTATTAAAAGAGACCAGCGGGGCCCCCTCCTCCCGCACCAGCCACGTATATGAGATTCTCTTAACATACAAGCAACAGATGTTGCATTACCTAAAAACTCTTATTTTGTGACATGGGACAAATAAACAACTATTGACTCTTGTTTTGTTTCTGTATTTGGTTAGCTATCAGGTGGGTCGAGAAACAATTTCACGTTCTGGTCAGCCGCCAGTGTAAAACGTTGAGGAACATTTCTTTTACAGGACGTTGCGGAACCGGCCCCCGCAATTTTTGGCAGTTGTGGCTTTTCTTGCTAAAAATTACGTTCAGTAGTTTGCCATTGCTCACTGAACGGTCAGCAATTGATACCACTGTCGAAACCAACGAAAGTCAAATTGTCCGCAGCTGGGATCGAACCCAGCACTCTTGCATTACGAAGCGCATTCGCAACGCCTAAACCACAGACGCCAACGAGGAACATTGGTAAAGATAATACAATAATGATATGAGTTCTAAATAATGTGGCTAAAATAGTTGATTTGTTTATTTTTTGTTTGTTTTAGCAACTTTTTCTTCCATCCCGTCTCTTCAGAAGCTTTGTGTTTGATAGCTGTTATTTTTGTGAAATGTAATTATTGATACTGAGGCAGGAAACAAATGCCAAGCCACGGTACGATTGTTGCGGGTTTCCATCGATAGCATGAAACGATAACTATGTAATAATCACTAAATGTGCATAGTTGATAAACGTCGTCCATGATCACTGTGAATTTGCTTCAGGACAAAGAGATCATATCCCACACGAATGTCCGAAATTACAGCTTTGTCCGTTACGCCTGATCGGAGCGTTGGCCGTTAGCTGCAAGAAGAAACACAGCGACAATTACTTAGCTCCAATCATAACACAATTCGGATAAATGTCAGTTTTGCTGTCTTTTTATTGAGTTGAATACAAGCAGATGAGATATTTTCGCCAGATTACATCTTGTATATTGTCGAAAAGAGTGGTAGTTTCCCTACATTTAATGTCAGCAACTTTCCCCTGTGCTGTCATGTCGTATTTCACATCACAACGAATGTATTGATTCTACAACTGGAATTGCGCCTGCTCACGCTGATAACTCAGTGGTAGTTTCACAGATAACAACGATAACTTAAAAATTAGTTTCATATTTTTACTTCATATTTTCACACTAATGACGTCAACAGTTTCTCATATTCACACTGATGAATCCCAGGTAACAGTTTCACATTTTCACACAGGTTATCTAAGCTGTTTCACATGTTCACACTGATGACCTCAACAGTTTCACACGTGCACCCGATGACCTCAACAGTTTTACACGTACACATGATGGCCTCAACAGTTTCAAACGTGCACATTGATGAACTCAACAGTTTCACACGCGCACACTGATAATCTCAACAGTTTCACACCTACACCTGATGACCTCAACAGTTTCACACCTACACCTGATGACCTCAACAGTTTCACACGTGCACATTGATGACCTCAACAGTTTCACACGTGCACACTGATAACCTCAACAATTTCACACGTACACCTGATGACCTCAACAGTTTCACACGTGCACACTGATAACCTCAAAGGTTTCACACGTGCACACTGATAACCTCAACAATTTCACACGTACACCTGATGACCTCAACAGTTTCACACGTGCACACTGATAACCTCAAAGGTTTCACACGCACACCTGATGACCTCTACAGTTTCACACGTACACCTGATGACCTCAACAGTTTCAAACGTGCACATTGATGAACTCAACAGTTTCACACGCGCACACTGATAATCTCAACAGTTTCACACCTACACCTGATGACCTCAACAGTTTCACACGTACACCTGATGACCTCAACAGTTTCACACGTACACCTGATGACCTCAACAGTTTCACACGTACACCTGATGACCTCAACAGTTTCACACGTACACATTGATGACCTCGACAGTTTCACACGGACACCTGATGACTTCAACAGTTTCACACGTACACCTGATGACCTCAACAGTTTCACACGTACACCTGATGACCTCGACAGTTCCACACGTACACACTGATGACTTCAACAGTTTCACACGTACACACTGATGACTTCACAGTTTCACACGTACACCTGATGACCTCGACAGTTTCACACGTACACCTGATGACCTCGACAGTTTCACACGTACACCTGATGACCTCGACAGTTTCACACGTACACACTGATGACCTCAACAGTTTCACACGTACACACTGATGACCTCGACAGTTTCACACGTACACCTGATGACCTCGACAGTTTCACAGTCAATAACCGATAATCACAGCTCATAGTGCCGCCAGGGGCACTAAGCTCAGTAGACTTCCACAATCTTGAAACATCGAAACTAGCGAAGAAACGACGACGAGAACGGTCAACATAAGTCAAGTTCTCAACCATCATCTATTCCCTATCAATGTTGGAACCGGAAGTCTCTTCTAGTTCTATACAGGGCGTTTCTCAAACATCTCATTTCGCAATTTTTTTTTTTTTTTTTTTCGTTTTTTCTCAGTCAGTATTCAAGCCTGACACTGATAATGCAAGTTAGTATGAAGAATTGAATTTATAATATGCCCATTTGTATCTACTGGGAAAGCTGACCGTTTCAAACCGGGTCCGTTGATGTTGATACGTGACATTGCGACATTGACATAAAGTGATCCAAAAATCATTTTCGGATGCTAATCCAATAGGGATTAGTCACAGACAATCGTATAAACAGTTTTATTAGGGCGTCCGGCTACACAAAGTAGCATGCTGGCCTATGTGGGCAGGTGTGAAACCGGTATTATAGGAAGCTGCTGTGCCAAGAAAAAGAACCACAGTCGGAACTAAAAATGGGAGCTATCCCTGTTAGCTTGACGTCCGATATATGGCTCTAGGGTCATGCCTGGTACACACACACACACTCGCACTCTATCTATCATACTCGCACTCTATCTCTTTCACACTCGCACTCTCTCTCTTACACACACACACTCACGCTCTCTCTATCACACACACACACATTCGCACTCTCTCTCTGACACCCTCACATTTATACACACTCGCACTCTTTCTATCACACACACATATACAAACTCGCACTCTCTCTAACACACACACATACACACACTCGCACTCACACACACACACACACACACACTCGCACTCTCTCTATCACACACACACACATACTTACACTCGCACACTCTCTCTCTATCACATACACACACATACACTCGCACTCACACATACACGCACACTCTCTCTCTCACTCTGTCACACACATACACTCGCACTCTATCACACACTCTCTTTCTCTCTCTCACGCTCTCTCTCTCTCTCCTCTCTATCACACACACACACACAAATTAAAAAAAAAAGGAAACAAATAACTAGTGCCATCTCTCATAGTTCGCTTAAAACAGTACTGTCTCTACATTGTATGGACGCCATCTCTTACGGCTGAATAAAGTTTATAACAGTATTGACTCTACATTGTATCGATGCTGTCTCTCACGGCTGAATAAAGTTTATAACAGTATTGACTCTACATTGTATCGATGCTGTCTCTCATAGCTGAATGCAGTTTAAGACAGTACTGTCTCTACACTTATGGACGCTATCTGTCATGGTTGAATGAAATTTAAGACAGTACTGTCTCTACACTGTATGGACGCTATCTCTCATGGTTGAATGAAATTTAAGACAGTGCTGTCTCTACACTGTATCGACGCTATCTCTCACAGTGGAATGAAGTTTAAGACAGTGCTGTCTCTATACTTAATGGACGCTATCTCTCACAGCTGGTTGAAGTTTATGACAGTACTGTCTCTGTACTGCATGGGCGCTATCTCTCATAGCTGGTGGAGGTTTATGACAGTACTGTCTCTACACAGTATTGACTCTATCTCTTACAGCTGGTTGAACTTTATGACAGTGCTGTCTCTATACTGCCAACTCCACTATCCTCACTGCATTTGTACCTCACAGTCAAGGTCATGCCACGTCTGGTCCGCAGTTTCCGCCTGCAGCACATATTGATAAACGCTCTCCTGAACCCGCTGCTGAGGAAACAGTAGACGATGGGATTGACGCTAGAATTAGACAGAGCCACCAGCTGAACTAGAGGATAGATGATACTGTTAACGAAGCCGGCATGGACGCTCGTGATGTTGAAGTCCAACCAAGCGTTGACCACATAGTAGGGCAACCAAGAGCACGCGAACACGGCCACCAACAAGACCAGCGTCCTAACAGTCTTTCTTCGTTGCAGTAGCAGACGATCAACCTGGGAAGGCTTGAATGTTTGTTTCCGTTTAAAATCAAACAGTTCTGTGTTTTTGGACCACAGTGCCAGCGATATCTTCAGGTAGACGACGCTCATGAGAGTCAGTGGCAACAGAAACAGTAGCAGGAAGGCCACCAAGTTGTAGCTGTGCTTGAGAAGCGCGCTGTTCCAGTTCTCGCTACATGCCCGGGCCTCGAACACCCCTGGAATGCCGTAGGAAGTTAAGGACCTGACCACAAGAAGAGGGCTGGACGTCGCCAAGCTAACGATCCATGTGGTCACCAGCATCACGTGTACACGGCTTCTCGAGAAAAGGATTTTGGCGCGGAGTGGAACATGAATGGCGAAATGTCGGTTGATGGAGATTGACAGCATGGACATAACGCTGACCGCCACCGCTGTACTTTGTAGAAATGGACTCATCTTGCACAGGGTTTCGCCGTAAATCCAGTCACTGGAAGGAAACAAAGGGAAACTGAGAAAAACATGGACAGTCTTATTCAGAAAAAAAAAAAATTTTTGACGCGACAAGTATGGTTCTTAAAAGAGGTACGAACAAGCACGGTAATCTACAGCATGTGCACAAATAGCAACGAAAAACACAAACAAACAGGCATCAACAGTCACAACAAACCAGTAACCGTAATTTCCATATTGTGATGGGAATACACATTAACCTGTATAATAATTTCCTTATTGTGATAGGAACACATACTAACGAGCTGCCATAACTATAGTTAGGGGAACTGAAACTAACCAGTGGCAATAAATAAAGTGACCGAAACATAAATTAAGTTTTCACATTATTTCCCAGTGAGACAGGAACATAAACTAACCTGTAGTGGTAGTTGAAGTGATGAGAACACAATCGAACATGTAAGCACAGCTTACATGATGGAAACATAAACTAACTTGTAGTGGTAGCTGAAGTGATGAGAACATAATCTAATATGCAACAGTAGTTATAGTGATAGGAACATGTACCAACCACGTGCCATAACTGTAGCGATGAGAACAAACTAAACATCTGCCATTACTATAGTGATTGGAACATTAACTAACTAGCGGCCCTAACAATAGTGATAGGAACATAAACAAACCAGCGGCCATAACTATAGTGATGGGAACATAAGCTAACCAGTGGCAATAACTAAAGTGAAGGGAAAATTAATTAACGAGCTGTCATAAATATAGTGATGGGAACATAAACTAACTAGCGGCCATTACTATAATAGTGGGAACATAAACTATCTGGTCGCCATAACTATAGTGACGGATGAGAACATAAACTAAACAGCAGACATAACTATAGGCATGGGAACATAAACTAACTTGTGGTCATAACTATAGTGATTGATGGTAACATAAACTAAACAGCAGACATAACTATAGCGATTGGAACATAAACTCACTGGCGGCCATAACTATAGTAGTGGTAACGTTTACTAGCAGCCATAGTTATAGTGATGGGAACATAAACTAACTGGCGGCCATAACTATAGTGATGGGAACATAAACTAACTAGCGGCTATAATTATAGTGATGGGAAAATAACTGGTGGTCATAACTATAGTGATGTGAACACAAACTAACTGGTAGCCATAGCTATAGTGATGGGAACATTAACTAACTAGCGGCCATAACTATAGTAGTGGGAACATGAACTGTCTGGTGGCCATAAATATAGTGACTGATGAGAACATAAATTAAACAGCAGACATAACTATAGCTATGGGAACATAAACTAACTGGTGGTCATAACTATAGTGATTGATGAGAACATAAACTAAACAGCAGCCATAACTATAGTGATGGGAACATAAACGAATTAGCGGCCATAACTATAGCAATTGGAACATGAACTAACTAAGTGGTGGGAAAATTAACCAGCAGCCATAGCTATAGTGATGGGAACATAAACTAATTGGCTGCCATAACTGTAGTAATAGGAACATTAACGAGCAGTCGAAACTATAGTGATGGGAACATAAACTAACTAGCGGCAATAGTTATAGTGATGGGAACATAAACTAACTGGCGGCCATAACTATAGTGATGGGAACATAAACTAACTAGCGGCTATAATTATAGTGATGGGAAAATAACTGGTGGTCATAACTATAGTGATGTGAACACAAACTAACTGGTAGCCATAGCTATAGTGATGGGAACATTAACTAACTAGCGGCCATAACTATAGTAGTGGGAACATGAACTGTCTGGTGGCCAAAAATATAGTGACTGATGAGAACATAAATTAAACAGCAGACATAACTATAGCTATGGGAACATAAACTAACTGGTGGTCATAACTATAGTGATTGATGAGAACATAAACTAAACAGCAGCCATAACTATAGTGATGGGAACATAAACGAATTAGCGGCCATAATTATAGCAATTGGAATATGAACTAACTAAGTGGTGGGAAAATTAACCAGCAGCCATAGCTATAGTGATGGGAACATAAACTAATTGGCTGCCATAACTGTAGTAATAGGAACATTAACGAGCAGTCGAAACTATAGTGATGGGAACATAAACTAACTAGCGGCAATAACTATAGTGATGGGAATATAAACTTACTGGTGGCCATAATTATAATGATGGGAACATAAGCTTACCAGCGGCTATAACCATAGTGATGTGAAAACAAACTAACTGGCAGCCATAAATATAGTGATGGAAACATAAACTAACTGGCAGCATAAATATAGTGGTGGGAACAGAACCCAGCAACCATAACTATAGCTATGGAAATATAAACTAACTAGCGGCCATAACTATAGTGGTGGGAACATAAACCAGCAGCCATAACTATAGTTATGGGAACATAAACTAACCGGCTATAACTTTAGTGGTGGGAACATTTCCCAGCAGCCATAACTATAGTGATGGGAACATAAACTAACTAACGGCCATAACTATAGTGGCGGGAACATAAACCAGCAACCATAACTATAGTGATGGAAATATAAACTAACTAGCGGCCATAACTATAGTGGCGGGAACATAAACCAGCAGCCATAACTATAGTTATGGAAACATAAACTAACCGGCTATAACTATACTAGTGGGAACATTTCCCAGCAGCCATAACTATATTGATGGGAACATAAACTAACCGGCTATAACTATAGTGGTGGGAACATTTCCCAGCAGCCATAACTATAGTGATGGGAACATAAACTAACTAGCGGCCATAACTATAGAAGGAACTGTAGTGTACGGATGCGAACATAAATTAACCTGCAACAGTAGTTCCTTAGCACGACGTGGGCACAAATCAGCATGTAGATGTGGTCCACAATAACGGAAAATCAACTAATCGATTGTCTGCGTTTCGGCTTTGATTACAGGCAGAAAATGACCCACAACGTATGTCGTAAGTATGGACAAAGAAGCTTCCACATTCAGAAGAGAACATATGCGAAATGTGCGTCGTATCCATCAAACTCTCACTTAATGCATGATATTTGGTCCAGAAAACCCAGAGGTAGAAGACAACAGCCGTAGGAAGAATGCGCCACCTTGAAGTTGTCTTCAGCAGATTTGAGATTGTTTCTCCGAAGGGACTGTGCCTTATCCAAGAGCAAACTTGCAGCTCCTGCTTCATCGACCGATTAAAACCAACAAAAGTTGTTTATTAACGTAAAAGAAAATAATATGATGAGAACGCAAACTAACCTGTAGATGTAACTTAAGTGATGGGACCATGAATTAACCTGCAACCGTAGCTTAAGTGATGGGACCATGAATTAACCTGCAACCGTAGCTTAAGTGATGGGAAACATACGTTAACCTGTAAGTGAAGGTAGAGCAAAGACCCCCTTTTCACGCCTTCAGACGTATTGGGCATATAGGACTAGACCTATATTTTGCAGACCAATCATCACTCGGTGGGTGTTATTATAAATATCACGCCGGTCGCCTTTACTTCCCCAGAAATGTATCTTTTACCCATTTCAGGTTCGGTCGACATGGGAGCCAAAGTCATTTAAAAAACGTCCCGCTTCATCAAGACCCGAAACGAGGATCTTCCGATCCAGAGGCCAGCGTAAACCCGTCACCGTAGCTTAAGAAATGGAGGAAATAAAAATTACCATATTACCTTAGCTAAAGTTTTGGGAACATAAAACTAACATGTAACCGGTGGCTACACTAATGGGAACTCAAACTAACCTGTAGACGTAGTTCCCTAGAGTGATAGGAACACAAATACACGCCACCATGAGGTCCCCAAATGTCAGATTGAGAAAGAAGACGTTGGTTAACGTTCTCATATGACGATGTCGTAGCACCACCACAATGACAAACACGTTGCCTGCAGATTACAAACAATGAGTTGTGATGTGACAACTGTCAAATATTATACCTCAGTAATAAACAAAAAGACACGTTAACTGGGGGTGAGGAAGGGGGGGGGGTGTCCTAGGGCGATGTGTATATACAAAAATATAAATTTAGGACTTATGTGGCTAACTAAAGAAATCCGAGGGAATAAAGAGATAAAGAAAAGGCAATTGTTTTGCATATTCAAATATGCAAACAGAGGTGAATGGAGAGTGAGAAGCAACAGCGAAATTCATAATCTGTTTAAATCACCACTGATCACTGGCATCATGAGGGCTAATAGACTTAAATGGTTGGGACATATTGAAAGAATGTCAGATGACAGAGAAGTAAAAACTGTATACACCAGGGAGATGAATGGTCGTAGACCACAAAGCAGACCAAGAAGACGACGGAGAGATAATATCCAGGCAGACCTGCAAATACTTAGTGTCACCAACTGGAAAGAGAAGGCCAAACAGAGAGATGAATGGAGACTGGTGATATCTGCAGCAATGAACCTCAAGAGCTCGGAATGCTGAAGAAGAAGAAGATATTCAAATATAAGGACATAAACGATATGTTGCACAGTTTATTGCTTGGCATATTTCGATGTATCTCGCAGGTGCATTTGCTACAGAGGTTACATCAGCACGTAACAGTGATACAGAAAACATTAATCCGTTCAGTTGAAATATACTTATCGTCTTGTCTCTTGTCACACCAAACATCTCAACCAACGAAACTATGAGATTAATCATGTATCCACCATGGAAGTCTACTATTTCCAATGTAATCCTTTTGTTTACATAAAGGGTGATTTCTTGTACTTATTGCCACTGCTTCCGCCAGTTTTAGTAGTCGCATATTTAGTGTGTGGTAAGTCACGCAAAAGGCACAATACATAACAACTTGCCTGGAGTCTACGAATTATGGAAGAATTAGGCTCTTTTCTCCTAGTTTATCTTTACCTATTTGAGGGTTTCAGGCTGTGTAGTCATTTTAGCATATGCCCGGTACGCTGTTTCCAAGCTGTCTCTTCTTGCAACTTATAAAAGTTAACTATCATGGCATTTAAGTAAATGTGTGTAATTGAATTTGGTTTAGGGAGACACTGGTTCTCAAAAGGTGATGATAGGACTTGTATCTAACACTGAAACATAGAACGGTTGATTAACAGCCGTTTCACTGAATCTTATGGACGATACGTAACATCTTCCCCTCGAAATGTTACCAGACAGTATGTTCTCTACGACTTATTTGAGAGACCTACAAACATACGAACAAATGAATTAGAGGCAGAGATCTGGTTGGGACATTGAAGAGTCCACGAGAGATAACAAGCGATAGATACGTTTGGCATAAGATGGTTGTCCGTCTGTACTTCGATGAGAGATAAAAAGCCGAAGAAGAGACCTCCCCCCCCCCCCCCCCCCCCCCCCCCCCCCCCCCCCCCCCCCCCCCCCCCCCCCCCCCCCCCCCCCCCCCCCCCCCCCCCCCCCCCCCCCCCCCCCCCCCCCCCCCCAAAAAAAAAAACGGTAGGGTCTCCACGACTAACGACCGAGTTCAGCTCCGAATAACAGGTCGAAAGTCGAACTGGTCGTGAGTCGAATTGAAGCAATTCGCATTTCAATAGGATATATTCCCCGTGTTGCGGAAAACAAGAATAGACCTAGTGCTTCCCCAGCAAGCATGTCGTAAGAGTTGACTAACTGGGTACTTCCAACGAAGTCGAAGTGCATCTGCCTGAGCTACAAGGAACAACCAACTGCACATAAATAAGCCAGTGAAACGGATGTACACGCAAAACTCAGACCCTGGTACAAACCCAAAGTCCAAATGGACGAACAACCAGGACTTATAGCCAGTGAACAAAGAAGAAAAAGAAGAAGAAGAAGAAGAAGAAGAAGAAGAAGAAGAAGAAGAAGAAGAAGAAGAAGAAGAAGAAGAAGAAGAAGAAGAAGAAGAAGAAGAAGAAGAAGAAGAAGAAGAAGAAGAAGAAGAAGAAGAAGAAGAAGAAGAAGAAGAAGAAAAACTCTTTCACGGAATGTAACTCTGCAGTAACGCACCTGACGAGATACAGCGAATTATGTCCGGCAATAATTTGTACAATGTCAACAGATAGAAATATCAACTGACACATAAAAGAGCAGATTTGCAACAAACACCCAAAAAAAAAAAACCACACCCACACAAAAAACCCCAGCAGATTGAAAACATAAGCTCACATTTAAAACAGAAGATACAAATTTAAGCTCACAGACAGAACAGGAAATCTACAGACTCACCGAGAAATCCAACAATAAATGTGCTGACGTAGGCGAGGATGAGCACAATAGTGAAGGGATCCCTGTGTTTATACAGAAGGTCCGCCATGTCCTGAAATGTGCATTTGTTATATTATATATAATCCATTGAAAGCAAACAACACTTCAGCAACGTACTCATTATTATCAGCAGGTTATTTGTTATATCTAAGCCATTGTGAGCAAACAACACTTCAGAGACGCACTTATTATTATCAGCAGGTTATTTGTTATATTATATCTAAACCATTTTGAGCAAACAACACTTCAGCAACGTACTCATTATTATCAGCAGGTTATTTGTTATATTATATCTAAGCCATTTCAAACAAACAACACTTCAGCAACGTACTCATTATTATCAGCAGGTTATTTGTTATATCTAAGCCATTGTGAGCAAACAACACTTCAGAGACGCACTTATTATTATCAGCAGGTTATTTGTTATATTATATCTAAACCATTTTGAGCAAACAACACTTCAGCAACGTACTCATTATTATCAGCAGGTTATTTGTTATATTATATCTAAGCCATTTCAAACAAACAACACTTCAGCAACGTACTCATTATTATCAGCAGGTTATTTGTTATATCTAAGCCATTGTGAGCAAACAACACTTCAGAGACGCACTTATTATTATCAGCAGGTTATTTGTTATATTATATCTAAACCATTTTGAGCAAACAACACTTCAGCAACGTACTCATTATTATCAGCAGGTTATTTGTTATATTATATCTAAGCCATTTCGAACAAACAACACTTCAGCAACGTACTCATTATTATCAGCAGGTTATTTGTTATATCTAAGCCATTGTGAGCAAACAACACTTCAGAGACGCACTTATTATTATCAGCAGGTTATTTGTTATATTATATCTAAACCATTTTGAGCAAACAACACTTCAGCAACGTACTCATTATTATCAGCAGGTTATTTGTTATATTATATCTAAGCCATTTCGAACAAAACAACACTTCAGCAACGTACTCATTATTATCAGCAGGTTATATTTGTTATATCTAAGCCATTGTGAGCAAACAACACTTCAGAGACGCACTTATTATTATCAGCAGGTTATTTGTTATATTATATCTAAGCCATTTCGAACAAACAACACTTCAGCAACGTACTCATTATTATCAGCAGGTTATTTGTTATATTATATCTAAGCCATTTCGAACAAACAACACTTCAGCAACGTACTCATTATTATCAGCAGGTTATTTGTTATATCTAAGCCATTGTGAGCAAACAACACTTCAGAGGCGCACTTATTATTATCAGCAGGTTATTTGTTTTATTATATCTAAACCATTTTGAGCAAACAACACTTCAGCAACGTACTCATTATTATCTGCAGGTTATTTGTTATATTATATCTAAACCATTTTGAGCAAACAACACTTCAGCAACGTACTCATTATCATCAACAGGTCTTGTGCAGAGCGTCGCTCTATTCACGGCCTGTCATAAGTCACTTACAACATGTTAACACCCCCCCCCCCCCCCCCCCCCGGCCTTCCTTTTTTCATCATCTGTCTTCCACATCCAGTGTTTACCGTTGCTGCTTGACCCCTGCCTCTTTATCTAGGAACCACCGCCTCCCTAATTTTTTTTTTATCTAAACAATTACGATGTTCTTCCATTATTTGTCGCCTTTTACGACATGCTAATAACTGGACAGTTGGCCGTTCTTTCACCCCAAAATCACAAGGGGATTATGGTGTTCAGTCTACTCTACTTGTCCATGATATTCTAAGTTTCGTATCCGATTCTATATTTATGTCGTGAAGAGTGTCAATATTTCTACTCTACTTTGTTCGACATACTCTAATCCTTTTCTTATAATGTATTTAGTAATTATGACCTAATCGCCGACTCACATCCTCAGTTCTCGTTATGCCTAGTGGCACAAGAGGCTTCAGAGAGGACTGTCCATGCTTTCCTGTCCTGTGCAATCTTCAGTGCAGTTTTCCATGTCAAAGATGCCGCACTCAGGTCACTTTCCATCGTTCGTCTCCATGTTGTTTTGGGCGCCCCTGTTTTCTCTTTCCCTCTGGTGTCCATGTGAGAGCTGTTTTGGCAGGTATATCAGAAGTCATTCTCATAACGTGGCCAAGCCATTTCCATCTTCTCTTGGTTATCATACTGTCTAGAGTTTCTTGGTTTGTGACTTGAAGTAGTGTAGTGTTTGAGATTGTATCAGGCCAGAAAATTTTGATAATTCTACGTAGACATGTGTGGTGGAAAGGTAGACAGCTTGTGTGCATCCTTTTTGGTCATTCTCCAGCATTCCGCTCGATAAAGAAGAACTGGCAAAATGATGCTCTTGTAGAGTCGGAGTTTCGTTCCTCTGCAGTAATTGTTGGATTTCCAGATTTGCCTCATCCTTCCAAAAGCAGCTCTAGCTTTGTTCAGACGTGACTTATGTCCTCTTCGGTCCCTCCCGGTAGGGACACCACACTGCCAAGATATGTGAAATGTTCTACATTTTCAAGAGTTTGGTTATTTATGGTCACTGGTTGTTGGTTTAGACTGCTTGTCACATCCGTATGTTCCTAATACATAATACATGTTTTCATGATGTTTCTTTCAAGTGGTCTGCTGATGTTGTTCCCTATTCTCTTTATACTCTTTAACTTCTTCATCGCTAAATTGTGTATCTTTCTTACTTCTGGTGAGTAATCTCAAATGTTGATAATTTTTTTAACAGCGCCGTAAGTTACCAAATTTGTTACCCATACTGACTATGTAAAGATAGAACCAGCTGGTGACATAACATGAGAACCTTCAAGACTAATTCAAATGTACTAGTAGAAGGACATACTGACCGCGATATTCTAACAGTGACAGGACAATGAAATATGGAGAGTTTGGTATTTCAGTAACTTTTTGACAGCAGTGTATTGACAGTGAGCTAATACTAACAAACTGGCAGGAGCATATAAACAGTAACGGGACAGAGGCATACTGACAGTGACGTATAAACAGCGAGAGGACAATGACATATTGGCAGTGACGTATAAACGATGACAGGACAGTGACATATTGACAGTGACGTAAAAACAGTGATAAGACAGTGCCTATTTACAGTGACGTATAAACAATGATAGGAGAGTGACATACTGGCAGTGACGTATAAACAGTAGGAGGATAGTGACATATTGGCAGTGACGCATAAACAGTGAGAGGACAGTGACATTTTGGCAGTGACGTATAAACAGTGATAGGACAGTGCCTATTTACAGTGACGTATAAACAATGATAGGAGAGTGACATACTGGCAGTGACGTAAAAACAGTGAGAGGAGAGTGGTATATTGACAGTGACGTAAAAACGGATAGAGGACAATGGTATATTGAAAGTGACGTATAAACAGTTAGGGGACAATGGCATATTGACAATGACGTATAAACAGAGGACAGTGGTATATTGACAGTGACGTATAAACAGTTAGAGGACAGTGGTATATTGACAGTGACGTATAAACAGTTAGAGGACAGTGGTATATTGACAGTGACGTATAAACAGTGAGAGGGCAGTTATAAATTAACAGTGACGTATAAACAGTGAGAGGACAGTGGTATATTGACAGTGACGTATAAACAGTGAGAGGACAGTGGTATATTTGACTGTAGTATATAAACGGTGACAGGATTGATATCATAGTGACATACTTACATTAGCATAAAAATAGTGACAAGGCAGTGACATATTACCAGCGTCCTGACATATATGATCGTGGTGTACTGACATTAGCATGTAAACAGTGGCAAGGCAGTGACATATTGACAGTGACATAATGACAGTGACGTAGTGACAGTAAAAGGATATATATATTGATAGTGACATACTGACATTTACCATAATAACAGTAGCAGGGCAGGGACATATTGACAGTGACAGGGCAGATTTGATGGAGACATACTGACATTAGCATATAAACAGTGACAATACAGTGACATATTGACAGTGACAGGACATATATAGTAGTGACATACAGACATTAGCATAAAAACAGTGACAAGGCAGTGGCATATTGACAGTGACGTGTTGACAGAGACAGAACAGATATGATAGTGATATCCTGACATTCGCATATAAACAGTGACAGGGCAGCGATGTACTGGCAGTGAAAGAACAGGTATTATAGTTGCATACTGACAGTAGAATATAAACAATGACAGAGCAGTGGCATATACTAGTAATTTATGAATTGTCAGGACAGTGGCATTTTGACAGTGACATATTGACAGTGATATGACAGTGACCTATTGACAGGGACATATTGACAGGGTCAGGGCAGTGATATTGATAGGAACGTTTGCAGGGTGACAGGACAGTGACGTATGAACATACTGCTAGCGACAAGACAGTGACATACTGACAGTGATGTATTGACAGCGACTTATGACAGTGGCATGTGTACAGTGACAGGACAGGAAGTTATTGACTGTGACAAGTGATCACTGACACATAGACAGTGCTACAAATTCAGTAATTCCAAGATAATGACAGAAAAGTCACACATACAAGTCAAACATGGACAGTGACAGGACAGGGAATTATTGACTGTGGCAAGTGACCACTGTCACATAGACAGTGCTACAAATTCAGTAATTCCAAGATAATGACAGAAAAGTCACACATACAAGTCAAACATGGACAGTGACAGGACAGGGAATTATTGACTGTGGCAAGTGACCACTGACACATAGACAGTGCTACAAAGACAGTAATTCCAAGATAATTACAGAAAAGTCACACATAGAGTCAAACATGGACAGTGACTAGACAATACAACGTGGGCATCGGCAGGGACAGAGACAGTGGATAGGAATTTATGGTGCTTTATTGATATCCTACCCCAAACAGGGGAAATCCACAGGTCACGGGACAGTCTAATATTTCAAGGGGTGGTAGATAGGCTGCATGCAGTCGTGGGACGTAGGCTGCATGCAGTAGTGGGACCTAGCTGCCTTTTCTCGTGGGACGTGGGTGGGTTGAGGTTAGGGCCAATTCTAGATGTTTTGGGGTCGTTAAAAGCATTAGAAAGCCGGAA